CAGTTTTTAAATTATACATTAGTGTATCTAAAACGTAAAATAATAATTCTTTATACTTTTTCTGGGTTGGCTACTCATCCAACTTGAATTAAACTAATAGCAATTCTTGTTTTGCATTTCTTTCCAAGGTGTAAAATAATTATTATTTTATTTTTTATTTGTTTTGATTTCAAACATTTACACCATATTTATTAGAACTTCCCGGAAGATTTCAGTTAGCAATAACTTTTTATGACCACTCGGGATTTTCATTATAATTATTATTACTTTCACTTACCTATATATGTAGGATCGTGAAAATTTTCAAATCTGAGTTTCAACGGAAATAAACGTTTGGAGGTCACCTGAGTCCAAATAACCAAGTCTCGTGTGTCTGTGTGTGTGTGAACAGTCTAGCTCAAAAATGAAAAGTCTTCCGAAACTGATATTACGTATTTAACATAGGTATATGGCTGAAAAATTACAGCAACTTTTTGCTTAAAAACGGTGTAACGCCTTTTTACAATTTTCTCAAAAACAGCTCCAGCGATTTTTATTAAACTCGGTGTATCTTTATATAATTAGGTGGTCTTTAATATCATTTAGGTCTTATTCCCATTGATGTCACTGTACAGGGTTTAAATGGCTAATTTTCATCGATGTCTTCTTCTAAAGTATCTTTAATACGGTTTATTTTAAATAATTAACTATCTTTTAAATAATGAACTTTCAGTTATTGTAGCTCCCGCACCCAACTTAAGAACATTTCGTCTTTTCAATTCTTTTGATTCGGTAACATTAACTATACTTATAGCAGAACATAAAATGTATAAACGAATTATATAGCTTCTGTATGTTCTGGTGGCAAGAGGAACATCAACATCCATGCAATAACCAAAAAGGGTGGAGATGGGCTTTCGGGCTAAGCCCTCTTCCCAAAATACTGAAATATAACAATGTCTTATGAAAAAATCCGGTGCGCACATCACACGACTTTCACTTACCTATCCTCTTCTTAGCAGAAATAAGTATTTTCAGACAAAGGGGAAGTGAAAGTAAAAATTTTAGACGCTATATTTATTTACGTTTCATTGTGGATATTTTTATTGATAGTTTGATGAAATTTCCTTTTGTGATATTCCAACAGTAAACACTTACAATTAGTGTGACAAGTTTTGACCTGTCTATGACAGACAATGCAAAGATCTTAATTCCGTTTTAGTAAACTTTGCAATGGAAAATAACAGTTTAAAAAGTAATAGTCGTACGATCCATAATCAACGGATCCTGCTTTCCATAATCAACGGAACGTAAAATCAATCATCAACCGGTGATATAATAAATAGGACTTATGTTATTTTTATGGTATTTATGGTTTGTTAGCTGTAATTTTTTAGCTTTAGCTCGGTTAAAAATGCAATCCAAAAATTTTATAATAACCCAATATGGCCAGAAAATAATTTCTATTCAAAGTTGAGCAATAAGTGAAAGTTGTGTGTTGCATGCACCTGTGTTCAACTGTGTTCATCATCGGCAACTAGGTCTATGTAAACAACCTTGTAAAATAAATTGTTGACTAATATACAAAAATACAATGTTTAAAAGTAAAATTTATAAATAAACAGTCTGTATAGATATAACTTTTTCAACTAGAAATATCACTAAAATGACATTAGTCAAAAATGTTGAAATTGGAGTCATTCTATCAACTGAAAGGTACACATAGATCAGACACTGAAGTTATGTGGTTTATAAAAGCACATGAAGTAACTAGATTTTTACTGTTCACCGTCGATATAATAAATAGAGTTTTTGTAATTTCAATGGTATTAATGATTTGTCATCTGTAAGCTTTAAGCTTTAGCTCTATTTAAAATGCACTTCAAAAATTTTATAATAGCCCAACATTGTTAGAAAATAATTTCTATTCAAAGTAGGGCTGTAAGTGAAAGTTCTGTGTTGCCCACACCAGATTTTTTAATTCAGTAAGAGTTCCATATCACCTTTGTGTTGGTAAAAAATATATTTCAGAAATAGTAACATTTTATTAACATTTTTCTATTTATGTTGCCATTTATTTGTTTTGTTTTTAAGAGATTCCAAATTACTTTATTATTTTTATACCACATATATAATATAAATATTTAGAATACCATGAATAAGATTACTGATTAATAAGTCATAATTAATGTTATCAATAATAATTAGTGATACTTTTTCTCAAGCTTAATATTATTAAAAATTAACCCTTAGAATTAAAACCTGCATTTCGAATCTTTAAAATGTAATTTTAGTTTTCCATAATATAATTTTGGTGTGAATTTTTATACCAAAATCATAATTCTAAATAAAATATTGAAGTTTCTGAAAATTTAATTTTCTTATAAATCTTGACATAAACATTTGATTCTATTATGTTGACATTAGACCATAAAAATCAGTTTTCTCAAATTTGATTCCATACATAACAATGAATACCCTCTCATAGTAGCTAGGAATAACCTCTATAAAAGTAAAAGACCAAAAGGCGAAAAAAGAGATGGATAGATAGAATCAACAAAGTTACAATAGAGCTGCATGTAGATAAATGGAAAGAAATAGGCAGAGACAGAGCTGGTTTGTTAAGGTGGACAAAGATCCACATGGTCTATAATGCCAACAGAATATATATAACAATATATATTATATATATATATATTATATATATATATATATATATATATATATATAGAGAGAGAGAGAGAGAGAGAGAGAGAGAGAGAGAGAGAGAGAGAGAGAGATATGTATTTTAATCTTAAGTAATTTTAAAACAAAGTAGGAATGAACCAAATACTTGAATAGCACTTCAATAGTAACTGATCCAGGATTAAATTTTGGAAGACTTCAGTTTGAAAGCTTTTTTATTATATACATACAACAATAATTATATGAAAAGAAAAATGAAGAAACAAACAACCTGTATGAAATGAGGTTTAAGTGATTCTTGAAGTACTATCAAAAGTTTAATTACACAAACAATAATACTTTTATAGATATTTTGGTAATATTTTTTTTCATAAGACATATGGTTTGTATAATAATTTAAAAAATACATCATATTGTTATTGCTTAAGTATTTAGCTTAGATCATTCACAACAAATATGGATCAAACAAAAAATAAGTTTTCCATTTTGAGAAGAGAATTCAATGCTGAAAGTCCTCTCCCCCACCCATGTAGATCCACTAATCTTCTCCTTCATGGGTGCTACGACCCATCGCTGTCCTGACCTTTTATTTTTATTTAGAGGTTCCGAGATGAATTAAATTTCGGGGGAGAGGAGGGGGAGGGGGGTAGACTACCAATCCATGCCACACTCAAGACCGATGGTGGGGCTGCCACCTCAGAGCATCCGGTCCTGCTCCCCCTCTGTGGTGGTTACCTAGAGAAGGTGACCGTAGGGTGTGTACTGTTGATGACCTCTGTCTGTGAGAGGAGTGTGCTGTATTAGTGTACTGTTCCCTCAATCTGGAGAGACAGTGGCTATCTGCAGTACTATGACTCTGCGATATGGTCGCCACTTCCCTACGATATGAGATCCACCGATACACACCAATAAATAAGAGTGAACAAACTGTTAACCTACCGATTATCACATATTTGCTGAATGGCGAATTCTGAAAAAGAGCAACTCATCTAAAATTCAGGAGTTACAAAAAATACTAACCTGCCCCCTCTGAACCAGGCACACAAAGAATTGTAAACAGAGAGCTAATTCATTAAAATGAGTCATGAGTTATGGCATAGAGTAGGGGACTCCAAACTATGACCCTTGGGCCAGATCCTGCCCGGGAAAGGTTCTATGATTACATATTAAAATTTTAAAAAATATTAAAAAAGTATATAATTTAGCAAATCACTAAGACAAGAGGTTACTATTTTACTATTACTATCTATTTTTTTTTTCTTAGACAGCTCATTTCACAACTGAAGTGTCATTTATAGATTTTTTTTTTCATCAAAAGCTATGCCCCGCAGGACTTAGGTGGAGTTCTCAATGTAGCTTGCCAGACTTAATGGAGGCCTCAATGTGGCCCACAGGCCAAAAAGTTTCGAGACCCCTGTCGTAGAGTAATGATACGCTTATTGATATGTGTTCTGATACGATGACATGAGTGGTTTAGCTCATGTTTTGTAAGAATGATTTTGAAGGTTCATAAAAAGAAGTAATTGATAATATATTAAACAACTTTAATTATTCGTGTAAACATTACAATGGATATATACAAATATTGATATTTGGTACGAAAGCAGAAATGTAAATAGAAATATGATGAAAAAATTAGCTAATAAGTGAATTCAGCATCACACCATATATAAGGAACATTACTACATATGAAATAAATGCTATCAATTTTTATTTGTTGAAACTATTAACAATATTATATAGTTGTAAAATAAAAGATAAAAAATTCAATCTGACAGCAATTTAAAAAGTGACAGATATTTCTAATAACAAAGACAAAGTCAAATTTTACATACAATAAATATCTTAATTTCAGGAAATCTCTTTTGATTTAACTAAATTAAAAATATTTACAAAATTGCACTTTTCAAATAGTCGAGGTTCACAATTTATAATGTGCATAAATTTAATTATTATGAAATATATATATTAATTTATATACAGTTGACAATATGGTAAAACAATCTTGACTTAAATTACTACATATTATACCTACTAACTTCAATATATGGAAATTAAAATTCATAGTCACAAAAATAAAATTCTAGACTAGCACAAAGCAGATCAGCACTGTACATTAGCGTATATATATATATATATAGATTAACTCTCTTTTAATATATACATTCACCAATATTCATGATTTTCAATACAAGAAAAATATGATACAAGATAAATTTAACAAAATAATATATGGACCCATCATAAAAATACTGTTACTTAACATATATATTCTTTTCCGTCTTTTTATTTCTTTATGTTCTTTTAATAGGCAAGATATATCTAAAATGTATAAATTAAACGGAATAGGAAAGAACAAGCCAACCCATCATACTGTAAAATAAGAAAATCGGATACATCGCAAGACCCCTCCTTTCGCTGGGATGAACGTCTGCAAGGAATTTCCAAACGGCTGAAACAAAAATATTTAAATAGAACTGCTCTGAATAATTATTATTAAAATAAACTATTTGATAAAGGAATGGTTAAAATGACTTCAAATAGCACAATGGTATAGTGATAGAACCCAAAAATCTGACAAAAAACATTTATCATAAAACTTAAAGTAAAATAAAAAATATATTAATTCTGCGACTGATTCGTGAGAAAATTAAATCAATATTTTGCCAATAATTAAGCACATTGATAGATCAAACTTTATAATTTTTTTTAAAGACCACCATAGATAGATTAACAATAGATTAAAAAAAGTCGGGCCACTTTTGGAAAGGAAATAAAGAGTAATTTCTCACTTTAAATGAAAATTTTCAATCTCAGAAAATATTGTTATAATATTTAATGAAAATATTTGATGAACTCAAGGCTGGTTAGGAAATAAACTTATCTTTATACCACTTTGCGTGTTCAGTATGGTGTAAATTTGTGTTTATAAATGTGTATAAAATATTATTAGATTTTATGGATATAAGGCCTAAAAACTTCTTTTTCATCAAATACATTACGATGATAGCAAAACTTATTTTCAAGTGAAATCTTAATGATATTATTATTATTAACAAATTAAATTTTTAATTTTGAAATTTCATTTCCTGGTTCTCTGTTCAATTTTTTTTTTCAGACAAGACAACACAAAAAACTTTTACCTAATCAATTCGAAACATGGTTAGTTAGTTGATGAATTATTCTTGTGATTAATTTTTCTTTCTAATTACTTAAACTATATTTTTGAAATGAAATGAAATGAAATGAAAAAATATTTTATTATTCTGGGACTGTTGTCCCTTTAGAACAAAAATATAAATACAGATTGTATGTCTGTGGTTACAATTAGGTTGTATATTTACAATAAGAGTTGACTAAAGATAAAAATACTGAAAAGAGAAACAAAAGAACAAGTAAATTGTACATATATATGAGAAACTAAAATAACCTTAATAAATTGAGGTAGTCTCTGGCAGTGCTTAGATATTTCTCTTAAGTATATTTCGCAATCAGTCGGATTGAGAAAGGAGTAGGTGCTTAAAGAGGAGAGGTTTGAAAGAGGAAACTGATTGAGCGTGTCGAATATCAGCAGGGATGGAATTCCAGAGGGAGGCGGCTTGTATTGCAAAGGATTTGTCAAACAGCAGTTCGGTGAGGAGGAGGAAAGAGGTCTGAAGTACGAGATCTAGTGGGACGGGATTGGATGGAGTATTTGAATTGTAAGCTGTGAAAAATATAGGAGGGTCGATGAGTTCTAATGATTTGGTACAGAAAGGTGGCTAGGAAGTACTGACGGCGATAGGATGGGTAGAGCCACCTCAACTCTGTGTAATACTGGGTAATATGTGTATCCCTTGAGATTCCGAAAACTAATTGTAGTGCGCAATTCATTAGGCATTTAAGTTTGGCCTCGGAATCTCCCGAGAATCCACCGTACACCATACAGCCATAGTCGAAGTGGGGGAAAATTGTGTCTACAATTTTCAAGATATATCCTTTCTATAACTACTGAGCTGAATTTGATGAAAATGAGTTTTAATTTTATATTATTAATAAAACAGGAATGATAAAATTATTAAAAGTCAGTGAAAAAAAATTTTTACCAGAGCTGATAGAGTTTTCTAAAAATTGTATGTAAATATTGTTTAAAAAAAAGAAAGAAGAAAAAAAGAACAGTAAAAACTACAGAAAACTAAAGTAAAAAGAAAAGTGGTGAAGTTAAATTTAAAAAAATTGAATATTCAATGGTTGACCGTATTGATACTGAGGAAAAAGATGATCCGGGGGTGGTGGTCATAAAATATGAAGACCTGCATAGCTGGGTCGAAATTTTCACTTTACACTATTTTAATTTTTTTTATGATCGCCACTCTGGACCATCTCTTTCCTCAACAAAAAAAAATATTACACTATTACGTAAGAATTGACAACTGAATACCTTTACAAGTCCAATGGAGTGCAAACAACGTTATCCAAAACCTTAAAGTATAGAATACAATTGGATAGTGACCATTTACAAAACTGTACTGAATTGTCAGCACAACTTTACAACCTATTAATGCTATAGCCATTGGTAGAAGACAATATCCGAGGACGCATACACTCTGGAAGAATGATCTGAAAAAAGAAAAAGTTTTGAGTTTTATGTAACTAAATAAATATCAAAAGCAACAAATAAAAGTTATGAAAATAAATTCCATAAATAAAAAAGTGCAGCCCAGCCAAGAAAACAAAGATTTAGGTATCAGGACTTTCTCATGGCCAGCATTTGGTTAACTCTACACAAGTGCCCTTGCCCTTTTTTGAATGCCCTAGAAAGCTAACTTAAAAAAAAATAATAAAACTAGAACTGAGCTTTAGCATTAAAATCAAATTGATATAATGTAACAATGCAAAAAATGCAATAAAAAAAATCTGGTGCACGCAATACACAACTTTCACTTGCTGCTCAACTTTGAATAGAAATTATGTTCTGGCCATGTTGAGCTATTTTTGAATTGCATTTTTAACTGAGCTAAAGCTAAAAAAGTACAGCTAATAAATCATAAATACTCTTAAAATAACAAAAGTCTTATTTATTATATCATCGATTGATTATGGATTTTACGATCCGTTGATTATGGATTGTACGACTATTAGTTATTAAACTGCTACTTACCATTGCAAAGTCTACTAAAATGGAATTAAGAGAAGTGCATTGTCTGTCATAGACAGGTCAAAAATAGTGACACTAATTGTATGTAAGTGGATACTGTTGGAATATCACAAAGGGATCAATTATAAATGAAATAATTTTATAATTATAAATTATAAAAGGATAAATTATTTACTAATTTAATTTTCTAAAAAGTTATATGACAATATTTCAGAATAAACGGGCGTTGATACCTAATTATTTAAATATAATATCAGATCTAGTACAATCAAACTACAGTAAATTTATTTAAGGTTATAAACATATGCTTTATACATCCATGAAATGATTTTATATTTTACTTCTTCTTTCATACAAGTACAATGAAATAGTTTTTTTAACAATGTCATTGGCTTAATTAGGTGAATTTTAAATACTTTTTCAAACTCAAAAATATTTTATAAGTTTACATTTAGTTAGTCAATTTCATTTAATTGTCTTGAAAACATGTGGTTTACATTAAATATTATAAGTTTTCAAAAATTATTATTTATAATTTTTTTTTTCACTCTCCATTATCTTATACGACTTTCTATATTAGATATTGTTTTTTCTAAAATTCTCCGTTATCCAACAATACTATACTTTCTGATTAATATTTCCGTAGATTCATTTTTGACCTGGATAAGCATTTTTATTTTTTTCTCCTTTATTCAATTATCAAATTCTTTCAAAAGTTATATTTAGCATTTTTTCGTAACTTTTAATAATGAGAGATAGTTAATTATTTGAAATGAACCATATTAAAGGTACTTTAGAGGAAAACGTACATGAACATTGGGCATTCAAGCATTTGGAAGTGACATCAACGGGGATAAGACCTAAATGTTATTTAAGACTACTTAATTAAACAATGATACACCGAGTTTAATCAAAATCGTTAGAGCTGTTTTTGAGAAATTGTAATAATTGTGTTTCACCGTTGATATAAAGTGGCATTTCTGGTTAGCTGATTTTAAGGAAAAAGTTGCTGTCACATCTAAGTACGGTACTGCTGTAATATCAATTTCGTACGACTTTTCGTTTTTGAGCTAGACTGCTAACATACAAACATACAGACTCGCAGACCATTTTTCTTTACTTGGTTATTTGGACTCAGAGTATCCAAAACGTGTATTTCCATTAAAAACTCAGATTCAAAATTTTCACGATCGTAATACTTACCCTCACTATATATTATATACATACGTAAGTGAAAGTAATAAATTATTTTTAAGAAAACAAGCATTGTTAATACAATGTACCAACAGCAATGCTACAAAAGTCTGTAAGTATAAAAACTAAAATTATTTATAAGCCAAAATAAACTACATATTTTTTATTTTGTGAACAAGATTTACCATCCACTTTTTATTCCAACCTTTCATAAATATTTTAAACAATGTTTTTGGTTTGATTTTTGAATATATGAAAGGCCAATCTTACACACAAAAGCTCAAGACCAAACTTTTTAACAAAATTTTACTCTCAGACTTTTGAAGTGGGGCTATCATATATACGTTCATAAATTATAATATGAAACCTTGAAGGTTCCCCCATAATGCCATAATATTCAGACTTCGGGTATTTACATATAGTCCGTGGTACAGTCATGCAATTACCTGAAAAGATTGAGGATCTGCCTTCCCCGTTCTTAACTCGGTTTGATCTGCAGTTTCTTTTAGTCCGTGGTACAGACCCCTTTTTGTCAGATTATTAACATCCACCTAAAATTTTTTGAATAGTTCATCTCATTGTAACCTATAAATTTTTTATCTATGAAAATTCTAAGAACTGGGGCGTTTTCAATTTGTATATTGGCAAACTTTGTCTATTTAATTAGGTACTAAAAATATATGAACACACATTTGTTTTCCACTTGAATCTTTTGATAATTTTATCATAAAATGAAGAAAAAAAGATGGTACACCAAAATATTGGAAAATATCAAAATAATAAGGTTATATAAATAGGCCTAACAGCCTAAAATTTTGTAGGCTACCATTTTATGATCAAATTATCTTACATTTCAAGTGAAAAGCATAGGAGTATTTCTGGTTTCTCATTAAATTAATTAGTTAATACACAAATTATAAATTATAATTTAATGAAGTGCTAAAAACACATAAAAACACCTATGCTTTATAATTGAATTGCAAGCTAATTTGATCAGAAAAAAATGGTGGCCTACAAAAATATTGGGCTGTCAGCCTATATAACCTCATTATTTTGACACTTTGGGATGGAAACGGGCCAAAATGTTTTTTTTTCTCCATTTTGAGATCAAATTAACTTTGAATCGAGTAGAAAGCAAAAGGGTAATTATGAATTTTTAGTGTCTAATTAAATAGACAAAGTTTGTCGATCTCCAGATTGAAAATTTCCCTATTCTGAGAATTTTCATAAATAAAAAAGTTGTAGGTTACGAAGAGATGAAGCTATTCATGAAGCTTTAGGCGGATGTTATTAATTTGATAAAAAATGGGTCTGTACCAAGGGCTATTAATTCCAATTAAAGAAAATCATGTTCTTATGTTGGGGCTGGAGATTATGCTAAATGGTCCGATATTTTTGTAGGCCACTTTATTTTTTTTTTGTGAATAAATTATTATATGAATCAAGTGGAAAGAAAATGGGTATTCAAGTATTTTTAGTACTTAATTAAATAAACAAAGTTTGATGATCTCCAAATTGAAAATGCCCTAGTTCTTAGAATGTTTGTAGATGAAAAATTTGGAGGATACGATGAATGAAGCTATTCACAAAGTTTTAGACAGATGTTAATAATTTGATAAAAAGGGGTTCGTATAACAGACTAAAAGCAAAAGCAGATGAAACCTAATTAAGCATGAGAAAGGAATATACTCAATCTTTTCAGGAAATTAGTTAGTCAATTAATAGGACAGAAAAAATGTGGAGCTGGATATCACACCATTGGTTTTTTGGAGGGTTGAAATCATGTATATACCAATTCCACATAATTACATCTGTAATAAGATGATCACTCAAATAAAAATTATTGAATTTCATCTTAATTAATAACATTTTTGATGGAAAAATAATAAATTAGTAGAAGTAAAATAATAATAATAATAATATATAAAGCATAAAAATTACATATTTCCTCCAAGGAGTTTCGAGTTCACAGTAACTATCACTGATCCGACCCAAACGATGACAAAAACCTCAGCAAACTCAGGTCCTCCATCGTGAAAATCATTTATGTTTTCATCTCCTTGTAAAATCCTGTACAATAAAAAAAAGACAACATTAAGTTTTATTATTTGAACGTTTGAAAAGTTGATTTATAACTAATATTTCCGATAAGTTTCTTAAGGGTTAAATTTAAACTGTATTCCATGGAAGGAATTTTTAGCATTTCCTTGAGAATATGAAAGACACCATTAATATATTTTAAAAACTCATCAAGTGAAAAAGTAAATCAAAATTTTAAATCTATTTAAATTGATACAAATCATCATAAAAAGGAACAAAAATTTCCTATATCCTGGATATCAAAATTCCTAGATAGATAACTTGAAAATAGGTGATTGTAGAAAACATTAAATAAATAAATGATAAATTTTTATTAAAGTAAATATTATTTTAAGTTTCAATTTCTTCATTGAATGTTTTTACTCTCAGTAAGATCCAATATCTTAGATCTAATTTTTTTTTTTACGTAACCTTTATTCTGAGACAATGTCAATAATAATAACTATTGCACTAGAACAAGAAATCTCGCATTAAATATCTATCCTTCTCACATAATATTATCAAAAAAATCGGTTCAGTAGAAGCTCAATACTTCATAATGACTATGTTGAAGTAAATGTTCACTTAATCACTAGGTGAATAACTTGCTTTACAGGAAAATATCTCTTAAGTTAATCAAAAAGACAACTATTCGTAAACTAAAACTAATCCAGTAGAATACTCATTGAGCGCTATTTGATTGGTATAAAAAAAGTAGAGTCCTTGAATCATAGTTCTCTCATTTATTTAGAATGGAGTATACCACTATAGCAAAACCAATAACTGAGAAAAATAAAAGTTGATCACAAAACATTTATTTTTATTAAAAATATTGAAAAGTTTCTTTCTATATTATCAAATTTGCTCAAAGAATGTCAGGAATACTCTCCTTCATTTACTTTAATTTTTAAAAACTTAACATGCAATAAGTTTCAGGATCTGAAGGAACTTTACCACGTTTTTACATTCAAGTCTAAATCTTTAAAACACAATTTGTTTTGTCACAATCTATCAGTTCAATAAGTTTTGAAACCTTTTTTCTGTAGGAAAAATTTACATCTTACAAGCAGGACATGAAAAAGCCATATAAGTAACTCTTCAATATTACTTACACAATAAATAAATATACTAAAAGATGAGTTTTGAGTAAAAAAATATTTTAAGAAAGAGGAGAGAGAAGCATTGACCCAAAATAATGAAATTATATCTATAATAGTATAACGCAATCACCAATCATAAAATAAATCAAATGTTGTAAATTAGAAATGCGTTTGATCTTATTCATAATTATAAATAAAAAGGCTTAGCGAACCCGAAGGTTCGATGCCGACACCACCAATTGCTTATTACACACCTCCCTTCACCGTTCGCCGTCCAGACCCAGTCCCTTCAGATCGGCTTTAATGCAATCTTCCCACCTTCGCTTCGGTCTGCCCCTCGGACGTTTACTGTTCGGCACAGCAAATATTAACCTTTTAGGAATTCTCTCGTTACTAAGTCCAACAACTTTACAAGCCCATTTGATTCGCCGCGATGAAATTACCTCAATTATATTACCCGGATACAGTTCCCGCAATTCGGCGTTGTGTAACCGTCTGAACTCTCCGTTAACTCATCCTTCTTCGGTCCGAATATTCTACGCAATACTTTATTTTCAAAAACCTTAAGACGCTGCTCATCCCTTAATGTAAGCGGCCAAGTTTCGCATCCATAAAGAACTGTAGGCAAGATAATTGTTTTATAGATTCTAATCTTAAGTTCCGGGATAAGAGGCGCGAACTAAGTAGTTTTGTCACAGAAAAATAACAACATTTCCGCCTTCAGTCTAATCTTAATTTCTTCTTCAATTTCGTTTTTTTCTAGTTATCGTAGAACCTAGATATCTAAATTTCTCTACCTGTTCAAACATATTACCATCAATATCGATATCGCCATTTTTGCAGCTAACCATATATTTTGTTTTATCCACGTTTATTTCGAGTCCTAGTTCTTTACCGGCTTTCATTAACGTTGTCGTATTTAGTTTTATAGTTTCAACTGTCTTCGCTTAACAGTACCAGATCATCAGCATAGCCCAGCACGGATGTTGTCCCACCCAGATCCAACCCTTTCTCGGTACGCATTACCTCCCTAATGGCATGTTCTAATGCCAAATTGAACAGGACAGGCGAAAGGGAATCCCCTTGTTTTAAACCCGACCGAACCTCAAATTTTTCCGCAGATTATTACCGATTCTAACTTTATTGAGTGTCTCCGTCAAGCACATCCTGACTAGTTTACTAGTTTTTTTGGAATCCCCTGCTTGATTAGAATATTATACAGTTTCTGGCGGTCAATAGAATCGTAAGCCTTTTTAAAATCTATATACAGCTGGTGAACAATACCGTTGTACTCCAACTTTTTCTCTAATATTTGCCGTAAAGAAAATATTTGATCAATAGTCAAATATTTAGTCTATATATCATATATATCAATATTTAGTCTATATATATCAATAGTCTATTCATAATTATAGAAAAATTAAATATAGCATACTTCAATTCTTAAATTATGTACAAACTATTTATTAATTATAGCATATACTTACATGGCCATTAAAGTGCAGAGAAAAAGAGGGCCCCATAAATCCCCTGCAATACAAGCATTTGATCATTACAAAAAATGCAGATAAATGAAAAGAAAAACAGACTAACTTAAAATTAAATAAAAATCCTGAAAGAAATATAACTTTCTAATAAATACTTTTTTTTTTTAACTTTATTTATTTATTTTCTATTCCTTGCCCTTGGGCAAAACAGGTGTCGGCAGCTTTGCAGGGTAGGCAAACTTCTCCAGGTGGCCTCCATCTTCTTCTTATTCGCCTCCTCTGTCCAGCAAATGTTCCTCTTTCTGGAATATGAAAATGAGCAGAGCCAATTGCGGTTTTCCACACATAAATAAAGGTCTTGAAGAATGGGTATTTCTTCTCGGTCACCAATTGAGGTTAATCGTTCTCAGAGAGCACGTAGAGTCCAGTTTCCCTCAGAAGTTTAGCCCTAAGTGCCTCAAAGACTTTTTTTTTTTTCAACTTGTAGGCCTCGTTTAATTAAGGGGGTAATGGTTTAATCCCCCACAGGGACCAGCCATACTGGGAAGCAGGGGCGGGATTCGATCCTATGATCTTAACGTAATTAGTATAGTGCACTAACCACTCTGCTATACTAGCTCCCAAATAAATACATAATATTTAATAAATTGTAATATAGGAAAGAAAATGAATTGCTAGTAGCTCAGATACTAGTAAATTCACAAAACTAAAATCTAAGGCAGTAAAAGTGAATTCAAAACAACAACAGTAACGTTGAGTATATGGATTTTAATTTACCAGTCAAATCCTTGTTTCAGACAATGTGTCTTACAAAGAAGCAGTTGTTTGAACCATAGATATGTTAAGTCATTAGTCAACAGTATTTATACTTTAAAACAAGGCTTATATTTAAAATAAAATACATTAACATAATCAAGAAATACATACAATCCTTTAGGATACATTTCTTATCAGATGGACGAATTACATGTTTAAATTTGGTGCATACTGCTTTAATGTCCCTCATCTGAAACAAAGAAAGAATAACATATTATTGAGTAACTATTATGAAAACTAAAATTGAAAATGGGAGTTCAAAACCTTATATTGGGAGTATCAAGTCACAGGTTTTCAAGCTAAAAAATGGAAGTAAATCAATTGGTTATCATAATAAAAATATCATTCATTATCATCAATCATAAAAATATAGTTATAAACTCATTTATAAATATTATCGGTTTACTGCAAAAAGTCAATAAGTATATATTAGATATAGCTAAATCTCTATGTAAATTTTTTAAAATAAATATAAAAAAATCAAATAAACCTATCCTCATCCCTCAAATCTAAAATATGGGAGTTTATCTCTTATGCACCAGACTATATTTCTTAACTTTTTTTTATCTCGTTTATAATTAATGTGGCTATTAATCTACCCCTTTTGGTTCTTCAACAGCCTCTTCACAGCACATAGATACTAGCTATTTTTTTTCTTTAACCATGGCGATTTCAGCTATATGAGTACTTCAAGACAAAACCCCTTGGTCTCTTTCATAAATTTTACCTAAAGAAATTTCTGGCATTCCCTTTCCACATAAATCTTTACATGACTGAATCATTTGAAATGTTTCCAATATCCTAGAATAGTGTTTAAACAAAAATACTTGAACTTAGAAACTATATAAGACTCAAGCTTCAGCTATGATGTGATAGAATATCAAATTACATAATTTCTCTACACAACTAGAGATGAATCACAACTTATTCAGGAACAAACCTTAACTGAATTAATGTTGACTTCAGGCTAAATAGACAAAAAAAATTTCATAAAATGGGGCATGTATAAATAATTCTATATTTTATTGTAGTTTAGCCCTTACTTTCTGTTGCTCCACCTTGATGGGTGGACATAAGATTTCATGATCACACTATAAATGATATTCGGAGAATGGCTGAACATTCATAACAGATTCATGAATATAACCACTCTTTATTTAAATGGCAACTTATCACTGCTATGTCCCAACTAGTTCTTTTGAGTTAAAATAAGAACCTTTACTTTAATTACACAGCGATATTTGACTTTCGTTTGCTCAAAACAGATAATTAAACCCCTAATGGGTCCTTTCCACTGGGAGTTGGGGCCTTACCAAATGGTTCAATCACCTGTCAACTTTCGAATGTTTTTAGAATTTCACTTATTCTATGATCATTGGATCATACCCACCCATCAACGTCGAGCAACACTTGTAAAGTAATACTTCAATTTCCTCTCAAAGATTGCAATGATACTGTATACAGGGCATTTCAGGGTTAAGTGGCCAAACTGCAAAAATGAACTACGAACCTCAAAACAAGAAAAAAATTTCCTGTGAAGGTATGTCCACAAACGCTTTCTTTAAGAGATTTCACACCTTAAGATTTTCTTTGTAATGAATTATTTACGTTATATGAAGATATTCTCCTACAACTGAGAAGGGTGTTGTGGCTTCAATTAGATGATTGTCCTGCACACTACAGAAGAGGTCCACGACCATGGCTAAATGTCAATTATCATAATCAATGGATTGGCCGTGAACGACCAGTGGCTTGGCCTGCACACTCTCCAGACCTGAGACCACTGGATTTTTTTGTTGGGGTGACATTAAACAAAAATTCTATGTAAGTCCGGTCAACGACCTTAATTCCTTATGAAGAAGGATAATTGAACCTTGTGAAACAATAGCACATATCCAGTGCTGTTCTGCCACTGCTGCTGTTGAAGAAAGATGACAAGCCTGTCTTAATGCTCAAGGAAATCACTTTGAACAACATTTAATATGAATTTAATGTTTATGTTTAAATAATAAAGTAGTTGAAACAAATAATTAAGTTTTATTAACTTAATGTAACGTAAATAATTCATAACAATGAAAATCTTTAGATGTGAATATCATCTAAACAAAGTGTTTGCGGACATTTCTTCATAGACATTTTTTTTTTTCTTGTTTTGTGGTCCTTAATTTATATTTTAAGTTTGGCCACTTAACCCTGAAACACGCTGTATATAGAGGAACCTGTACTTTTGGAATACATTTTAATACCTTTCAATGGGTGAATAACTCTCAATGGACTTGAGCATTATTAAAATTTTGCTATTTAATAGGTAAGGAATTGAATGAAAAATGACCTAAAAAATTTAAAATTTAAACTGGAATATAGTAAGATTGGGATACTCCTTATGTAAACACCTTAATGAGTACACATCTAGAATTAAAAATGAAAAAAAGAAACTCACAATAGTGTCTCTAACAGGTTCATCGAGAGAATTAAAGTTGGGATCTCCAATGTTTCCACTAGTTGGTTGATATGGTGAAGACAGAGAACCTTGGACAGGTATATTGTCCAGTCCTTCGTCAACCATCTGTTATATAAAATAAAATAGATAATTATGATTTCTTTTTTGTTAAATTATCAATCTCCAAAAATTATTTAGTAGGAATGTAATGTTAATATTCAATACATACTGTTATCAATTGATAAAAAATGATACATCAAAATTACTCACTTCTAGCTTCACATCTGTGTCAGAATTCGTCATTTTTTTAATAATTAGTAGCTAAACTTCTAGATAACTATTTAAACTTAATATAATGCATTTTAAAGGTTAAATTAATTATCAGTAATAATTAACATGGAACTTAAGATGACATCAACAAAGTGGCAGGTTAATATCAGGTTATTGGAAAGAAGTACACCAGTCAATTTCATATTCAGTTGGAACTATAACCTCTATGGTAGATAAGAATAAATTCTTATTAAATTAGATTTTGTTATATAGCTTAAAGGTGAATACAAAATTTCAACATTTTTCTTAGCGAAGTATTATTCAATTACATTGCTCTGAGATTATGCACTTATTAGACATAGCCTTAATGTCTAAATATTACTGTAGAAACTAATTTGATCTCGCTATAAAATTAATTATTCTTTTTGAGAAGTGGATACAGAGCCTTAGACCTGTGATTATAGTAATCAAGAATATTAATTTTAAACAAGAAATAAGATAAACTTAGATAAATTAAGTTATTTTTGGCCACTGATGTTTATAAACCCTCAGAAATTGTTCTTCAAACTACTTTGTGATTTACGTTTCTCCTTAGGTAATCGTACTATAGGCTACACCGCAGTTTCCCAGTAAAACTGAACAATATTAAATGGCATTCGGGGCAGTATGTAGATTTTTGTTGTGGAATGAGTGCATACAGTGAGCACATAAGCCTTCTAACTTTCCACTGGTACATTCAAATAGTTGTTCTTTTGTTTGTTTAATAAATTTATTCAATGGTGTTCCAATTGATCCTCGTGTTCCAATTCATTACTGAAGATTGCAAAATAAGAATGTGAAATAAGTTTTAATTTTTTCGGTTTTAAATCAATAAAATAATCCTCCAGAAATAAAATACGTTGGACTTACCAAACTCTACTTCTTGAATTGTTTAGGTACCTCGTAGTTCTCACTTACTCCATAAGGCAGGGTTAAGTGCGTAATTCAGGAGTGATGGCCAATTGTCATCTTTGGCAACGCTTACACAAGGCAGAGAAGCGTAAAAGAAGACGACCCAAGAAGGATGGTTGCAGTTTGTTTTGTAAAATTTGGCTACCAAAGAGCTTAAAGAAGAAAACTGACAAGACCGAGAGAATTGAACAAATTTTTAGAAACAATCAACGAGTAAATACAGTGCCGGCCTTAGATATTTGGCGCCCCCTGGCAATGACGTCATTCCCCCTCTAAAAATCAATGTATTTCTTAAGCTATTTTATATTACGTAATATTTAAATTTGATCTCATTTAATCAACATTGCTCTAATACAGCTACTTTATTGATAGGCTAAAATTAATTATTTTAATACGTTTTATATTTTTTATGAATTTCTAACAATTGGCAAGCGCCTCTGAAGATCGGCCCTTCCAGGTCGGCGCCTCAGGACGATTGTCTCCATTGCTCTGGCCTAAGGCGGGTACTGAATAAATATTATATTAAAAAAATCATTAATAAAAAAAGGTCGTATAATTTACATCTCACCTCTTCTTAAAACAGTGAAGCAAAATTATAATTTAAAATAACATAAATCATATACACTTGCTGGGGTTTGTTCCTAGTTTTTCCCTTCTCCCTTAGTTTGAAACTTGTCATTCCGAAAATTTACAATCATATTGAGATGTGTCCCCTCAAAAATTCAAACTCCTTCAAAATGTGCTCCCTTTCATGAAACTTTTCTGAACTCCCCAATTGAGGTTAATGAATATAAAATAGTAATATCTATAAAATTTTTGTGAAAATTATTCTTAGCATTTTATTTTTGATGACATTGCTACTGTAGGGGGACAAGCTAACTGTTCTAAAAATGTTAAAGACAAGAAACACATTTATCATTTGTGTGCTAAATATTACTACTATCACACTCCACTTTAACACCGTAAAACTTGAGCTAATTTCATAAACGTGTGAGGTTTATTTATGAGTATTTTCATTTTAAGTGGTTGCTACAATATTTTAAATATGTTTAATTAAAAGTTTTTCTGCTGATACATGTAGGATCCCTGCCATAAACTCTGAACTCCCATTGCAGCCAGAGAAGGTACTAATAAATCCCTTGGACAATGTCCAGTTTTTTTATGTATTCGACACATTCTGTCACTGCAAGAAAAAGGCCGGGATCGCCCTAGGATACTAGCCTTGAAGAGTGTAAAACATTTAGAAAGTCTCCAAGCTGAGGGAAATGGAAGTCTCAAGTAATTAAGAATTACGTACAATGTGATTGGAGAGGGTGATGTCCCCTAAGAAGCTGGATCTACAATATAAATATAAAAGTTATGTTTTAAGTTATTAATTAGTTTTGCCTCCTTTTTTATTTATTTTCTTTAATATTTAAAACAGATTCGAGCTTATTTTGTTAATGTTTCAGGGTTTTCATCCCCATCAACAAAATTAAAATTAAACTATATCAAATCAATTTATTGTATGTGTCTTAATATATTTTAATTGCTTTTTAACTGTTTACTAAACAAACATTATATTTTAAATATTAAAATATAATTTTAAATAGTTATATATACAAATATATAAATATATTTCTCCTATTAAATTCAATGACACTATGATATTATGTGTTAAAATTATTAAAACATTTGATTCTATTTTTAAAAATAAATTTCTGTTAACTCATCCAAAAGTATTTATTCTTAATTATAAATTTGCAAATGTGAAAAATAATTTCAAAATTTTGATTCATGGACCAATTTGGTTTTTGTGTACCACTGACTAAAAAAACAAAACAACAATAATATTCAAGTAAATTGTTTCTTTCTTTATTATATAAATTTACTATAACCCATAACTTAAAGTATGAGATTCATTAAGGCTTTCCCTTTTATATCCCTGTTCCACAGGGGGATCTACTGGGGAGGGAAGGGAGGCTATTGAGCTGAAGCCCCTCCCCCTAAATGGTAAAATATAACTATGTTTTATGAAAAAAAATATCTCTAAAAGTATTATTGTTCATCTAATTACATTTAATAGGACTTAAAGAATCACTTAAACACCATTTCATATAGGTACTTAGTTTCTTTCTTTCTTCCGAAGTAATTATTGTAATATATACATAAAAAAAAAAATCTTTCAGGCTGAAGCTTCCTCCAAAATTAAATCTTCGATCCGTTAGTGCCTAATTCCACTTTCTAAATTCTTCTCTGGTACTTTACTTTTTGGCGTATTTTTTCTTTAATTGGCTGAATCCTATTTTAAATGGAATCATTGCTGTTCATGGATGAGAGTTCATAGGTACTGTCACCAAAAAGTCAGTCCATTACTCGAGAAAAAATTGATTAGGTCTTCTGCTGAGTAAGTAGTAATCATATATTTTGCAACATAAACAGTAGCCGGATAGTTAATCATCAAGCGGTGAAGCCAGCCTCTATAAAGTGGGTACCCTTAATCAAAAAAATAATTAAGGGGGAAAATCTGGCAGATTGAGCGTGATATTGGCCCATCACCTTCCTGCACAACCATTGGCCTTGTAACAGTACTTCCTCACATAGTACGGCACCCAAGACTCTTCACGGGTTGTAGTGGCACAGGTTTTTATTTTTTATTTATCTTTAATAAAGCTTCAATCTCAGCTTTGCTCTTTATATTCTATTCACCATTAATCTGTGTTGCTCCATAAATCCTTCTTATAACCTTTCTTTCAAATAATCTCACTTTACCACAATCATCTTGGTAGAAACCTAGTTTCCACATTTTCAGGTGACACTAATCATCTTACAAGAGATACATTGTATATACTTTCCATGTGGCCCGATGATAGCTCAATTTTTTGTCATAATGATCTATTCTGTTCAGTGTGCTTAGATCTTTTACCATTAAAAATATTATTTTTTTTTTTAAATTTAGTTTTCTGAAAAATAAAAGTGTATGCAAGTTGGTGTCATTTTCCCCATAATGAACCTTCATCTCTGAGGCCTAAGTAATTTTTTTTTTTTGGTTTCCATCTCTTGCACAGTTTCTTTAACTACATCTAAAGATTGCAACTACCGTTGGTTTAGTTTCATTGTCCTCCTACTCTAGACCAATTGCCTTCACCACGGCTTTGAAGTATGTTTCCACAAGATGAAGTCAAACCTATTGTCCAGGATAATTTTTCAAGGAAATAAAAAAGTGGATTAAAACTTAAAATATTCAATCTTGAATTTACTATTGAAAACTAACAGTTTAGTTTTGATAGATCACATTGCATTACCGTATGAAAAAAATATTTCGATCAATATTTATTTGTAAATATCCATATTTTTAATGATAATTTTTTCTTTACAAAGCAAGATTTATTCATACTATCTGCTTACAATTTTATTCAATTAAACTCAAAATAATTTTTAAAAAGATATCTTTTGACCTCTAATTTGCTTTCCTGTATTCCCAAAAATATTTCTCCAAGTTCTTTCAATTTCCACACTTAAAATACCAAAACAATCATTCTTGTATGGACACGATTTGTTCATTATTGTTCAATCTTACTTTTTGGAAGATTATGATTTAATTTAAACATTAATGCCGTGATGTTAACTTTCTTCATACTGATTTATTTCAGTATAATATATTAGTATAATTCATATTTATGTAAATAATATACTTATTATATAATAATTACATGGATATATATATATATATATATATATATATATATATATATATATATATATATATATATGTGTGTGTGTGTGTGTGTGTGTGTGTGTGTGTGTGTGTGTGTGTGTGTGTGTGTGTGTATTTTTAACAGCATCTACATGAAATAGAAAAAAAATTAAAATTATATATTTTTAAAAAAACTGTCATAATGAGCTTTTAGGTTTAGAGGTGCATTAATGATGTTGAAGGTTACTTTATTTTGAATCACATAGTTTATCATCATAAATTTATATTATGATTAAGTTTATTCTAACTTATAACATATCTATTTAAGACATCAGAACTCCCACTGAAAACAAATATTCATAAGGAATGGCAGGATATGTCAGGCAAGAATATTTCAAGCAACTAA